CAATTGAATTTTGGTCTCAATTGCTACGGATTTAGCAATGGAACTACCGACATATCTGTTGAGTTAGGCAACGGAAAGTTAGCGACGGCTACTAATCTATTGCTAAAAGTCAAAAAGGCTTCAGTTTGTTGACTAGAGTTAGCGACGCCACTATTATCATTAGTGACGGATTATTCTGTAGCTAAATTAGCGACATATGAAACACAATCGTAACTAAAATTTAGCGATGCGGCTTTTATCTACGGATGGGGCCAAGGAGCATTTATGTCGCTAAATACCCATTAGCAACGGATTAATGTTATTTAGCGACAGATATGTCCGTAGCTAAAGGCCGATTTTTAGTAGTGTTTTAATAGCATGGGGTTTCGGGGCAACGCCCCAAAATTGTTTTCCCGTCATATATGTTTAATGACATAATATAAATAAATATTTTTAATATAAAATTCTATGTCAATAAAATATTAAAAATATTAATGTGTATCTAAATAATTTTTTTGTAAAACAAATGTTACATAAGTATACAATAATTTTTTTTCGAATAAAATAAAGATTTTAGCTTTTATATTTTTTAAACTAAGTTTTAAAAATTATAAATGGAATTGTTTTTAGAAAATATAGAAGAATAAACATCTTTTTAAGGGCAAATGGCAAATAGGCCCATGATAAGGGCGCTTAATTAAAAAAAGGATATCCAACTTTTTTGTCTTTCAAATATTTTCAGCTCATTTAAACTTATTTGCAAATAAGGAACACTCTTTTATATGTACCAAAATTACCTCCAATTCCTTGAAACCCAATTCAACTCTAATTTCATGATTTACACCCTAATTTAGCAATTTTGACCCGCCACCACAGGAGACCGCCGGTTAGCCCCCGTTGACCGCCGGTCTCCGGCGTTGATTTCTTTTTTTTCTGAAACTTTTTCCGGTAGGTCAACCGCCACTGACAGCCGGGTCTCCGACGTTAACTCTTTTTTTTATATCTTTTTTTAATTTTGTTTTTTTCTTAAAAAAATATTTTAATTAATACTAGCATTTTTTCCCCGTGCGATGCACGGGATATTATTTCAAAGTGAAAAATAATAATCAATTTAATATATAATGAGAAAATATAGTACACTAATATAGAAAAAAATAATGATTTAGTATTATAAATGTTACATATTAAGATTTAACAAATCGAATTTCTATCTTTATCTCTTACACGGAATATTATTTCAAAAGTGAAAAAGAATAATCAATTTAATATATAATGAGAAAATATAGTACACTAACATAGAAAAATTAATAATGTAGTATTATAAATCTTACATATTGAAATTTAACAAATCGAATTTCTATCTTTATCTCATAAGATTTGAGATATATTGATGAAAAATAGGAGATTAATAATTGTTGAAAATTATAGTTAGAAAATTAGTAGAGAACAAAAATATTAAAAATAAATAATTACAGATGTACCATTAAGGTAGGATTCTTCACGGTTTAGTTTCAATTTTGATATTGTTGAAAATTATAGTTATAAATTAGTAGAGAACAAAAATATTAAAAATAAATAATTACAGAAATACCATTAGGGTTTTTAGGGTTGCCCAGCGTTTCTTTCTTTTATATATAAGATTACTGTCTTGGCTGTTAAATTACTATCTCCAACAGTTAGTTAACTGTCGGAGACAGTAAT